GGCTCCTGAACTCGAGGCAGGTGGGGTCTGAACAGAATCAGAGGCTGCAGAGAGGATTGATGCATAAATTAAACCTGAAGGATGATCTGGAATTGGCACGAGGGAGCCGGTGCTGAAGCTAAGGGCAGATTTGAGGACGTGAATGACATGCGAGACAACCTAGAAGCAAGAGAGAACTGGCCTGTTGCAAAAATGGAGAGAAGCTCAAAGCCGCTGTAAGTGAAGCTGGAAGAGAGGAGGTGACTGACCAGCCCTGAGGCTGCAACAGGCTCACAAGGGTTTACGACCCCGCTGAGAAGTTTAGGCTTGATTAAGAGCAATGGGAAGCCACCTGAGAGTTTCCAAACAAGAGTGGTGTGAGATAAAAACGTGTGTCAATCACCTCTTATATACATGGTTGAGGCAAAGAGCACTTCTGAGTGAGGGGAGTCCGAAAACAGTAGTGAATCATGAAGAACTAGCATCCCCCCTATTGAAGCTAAGAGGGCTTTTAAATAAGCACTGTGGGAGACCATTAACCACCAAATGGATGCCCCTGTGACAATAGGTTTTTATTCCAGGTGAGCACATCTCAAGAAGTACCCATCTCTTAGGCTTATGGCAGAAACAGTCATCCATGTCAGAAAAAAACAGCACAAAGGCAGAACTGTACTCCATTGCATGCACACAGGGGCATATATTTAAACATCTTGACCGTATGTTAACATCACAGGACAGTCTCTGAATTTCAGTCTTGGAGAGGGGTTAAAGGTTGTTTGGTCCAACTCCCCCATGATACATGGAAAGACACATCTTTGCACGATGACCAGAATTAAGCAGTTATTATAAGACCTGCCTTCTTTTTGAAAGACTTCTGCCTGTCATAATGTAACTGAATTGCTGCAAATAATAACTGAAAAAACTAGTATTCTGACCCAGGTATGTGATTCCATCTTTGTTCTTAAGCCTCCAAAGACCCTGCCTCTCAGAGTCACACCTCCCACAATGTCCCAGACTGTGGCTTCCCTTTGGAGCTCTCGGTCCCTCCCTCCCTCGGATCTTTCACTCCGGAGGAAGCCAGCTGCCTCGTCCTGAGCAGCCCTTGGGTGAGGCCCTGTGACAAGGAACTGGAGTTCCTCACCAATAATAGCCAGGGAGGAAGTGAGGCCAGCCTACTGGCTGGTGCGGGAACCCGGGAGCAGGCTCTCCAGGCCCTCCTGGCCAGGAGATGACTGAAGCCCCAGGGGACAGCCTGCTAACAACCCCACGAGAGACCCTGAGCCAGAGCCACCCAGCTAAGCTGCTCCTGGACCCCTGCCTCTCAGAAACCCTCTGAAATAATGCAAGTGTGTTGTTTTAAAGCATGAAATTTTGCAGTAATTTGTGAAGCAGTAAGAGATAATAAACACTGCAAAGAATCTATTCTTAACAAACATTAATTACACTTTTACAAATATCTAAATAGTGATTTTTTTCTAAACAATAAAATAACATTCTTGACTTAACAATACTACAATCACGATGTTCTTTGAAAAGAGGTGATTACAGAATAGGCTTACAGAATAGGTAAGGTGATATTTAACCAGTCATTTATAGGTCACTCATTCTAATTTAACCTGAGTTCTCGGCAGCCAGACATGGTGACAATTGAAATTTGGTCAAAGATAGTGATTACCCATGGCGACACATTCATATTTCAATACAACCTAATTTCTTTCACTTTTGGGGAAAATCTCAGTAGATACAAAGATCTGAATTTAAGTGGAAACTCACTTTTGTCTTCGATGTGAGTAGCCCTTGTAGAAGTCGGCGTAAGGGAAAAACGTGGTCTACCAGCTGATGAGGATGATGATTTATAAAATAATCACTTTTCCAATTAAATAAAACTTTCAAAATTTTCTCCCTGGAAGAGAACCTCCAGATAGGAGGAAGCGCAGCTGACGTAGCTCTGAGCTCCCTTCTAAGTTTCATCTTTACTTTGTCTTCTCGATGCAATTATTCATTCAGCATTTCATCAAAAACGCAGTCACAGGGATTCAATGATGACCTAGACAGACGAGGCTCCACCCTCACGTACCTTTCTATCCGGGCGTGGAAACAAGACATTAAGCCCTTACCAAGTAGTGGTAAGTAGAGCGCAGGGCAAGCACCTGATCCTAGCACGCTGAGGGCGGCGCGGGCGCTTTCTGTTAAGGTGTCCTCACAGGCCAAGGCGCCCCCACACCAAGGCCTGCAGGCAAGGGGGCTCCGGGCGCATTTAGAAACTGGGCTTGGCTGCAGCACAGAGCAAGGAGGAAGGAAAGATGAGAGCCCGGGGAGAGCACCATGCCTTTATAGAGCCCCCCTTTAACACAGCAGGCGCAGGGAAGGATTGGAAAGTGAGCAGTTCTCTGGGCCCCGACCTTCCCATCCAGTCTGAGAACTCCGATGATATTCGTTCCGGGCCCAGACGGCGAGGGCACCTTGGCAAGGCGGATGTATGTCGCCACGAGTTCTCATGCCAGAAGCACCTGCTGCAAACTCCAGCTCGAGAACAACAGTAATGCCCGCTTCACTTGGGTCATGTAAAGATTCGGTGGAGCAACTAATGCGAAGCGTTGTTCACACACAAGGCTTTTAAGAAAATTCTCTTCCCTCCCATTGCCTTGCTTGTGAGCCCCCAGCTGGCCTCCTAGCAGAAGGCACAATGTCACCATCCACCCATGTGACCTTGCCAGAGGACAAGGCTCTTGGCCACTCCCTGTGCCCGTCCAGTTCCACTCCAGCCTCTCCCTGCCCCTCAGTGGACCCTGGGCTGGACAAACCAGTAGCGTTCCCGCATAACCATACTGCCACACAGTAGCTGTAGCATCCACTAAGAAAGGAGTTATTCCCATACCAACCGAGACCTGTTCCATCACAGGATCTGTACTTCGTATTTGCATATGTACTTGACCACCCTATTCCTTTTGATCATACTGTGAGCACTCTAATCACTACGTGGCCGATAAGAGCCCCAGGTTCAGAGAGGTTAACTGGCTAACCCTGACCTAAGGGGCGAATGGAGCCCCTCCTTCTCTATAAATAGTTGTCAGCTCCACACAGGCTGCCTCCAGGCAAATGTTGCAATGGGTATATATTTTAAGGTATACTTTTACTTTCTTTTAACTAGTTTCATTGTAAGGGCTCAGAGCAACAGGTTTTTTACAACTATACACCCATTTATTAATTTCTAATTTTGTGTCCTTTCACACATATATTAAATTCTCTATGTACAAAAGTGAAGGGAGGGGTGGCAGGACCTTCTCTGAATACTATTGCTGCCCAAGGATCATTCCAAGCACTTCAGTGAGTGGTCTAAGTACCACGTTCAATTCGTATTCCTGCCCAACTATTCTCATAATGGTAAAAATAAAGCTGCCTATTTTCTTAATAAAACTGTCTCCTGACTGTGAAAACGAGAGCATGAATGAGAGGTTTAATTACTCCTGGTGGACTTGAGCTGCTGATTCAAAAGGAATTGTCCTTCATGAGATCAGAATAAGATTCCTTGAAGGTCACCTGTTCCAAGCCAGGTCTCTGTCAAGAGAACTGTCTGCTCTGCACAGGGGTCCTCCCCACTTCTGAGCGGCTCAAGGAGGGTCCCCAAGCAGTCCCACTCCTGCCTCCCAGCGTGATCCAAAGGCGTCTTTCCCCGAGCACCCTGCCTTTTCACCGTTTCTCTGGAGGTGGTGCACAGGTTACTGGGATCAGTCACCCAGGTACTTAGGAACAGGTGATTCCTGGGTCCCAACATGGACCTAAATTGACCCAGGAGTGGGGCATCAGCTTTCTTTCTCACCTAGCAGGTCCATACCTTATCAGTGAAATATTCCAGGACTTTTCCACCAAAGAAGGCTTCAGCAAAGTCTTCTTCATCTTATACTAAAAATAACTGGATTTTAACCTAAGTGGTTGATTAAAATGCTGAGTCAGACAGTGATGTGTGTTCACCACCTGGTATGTATTGGGCTCATATGCAATACTGTGTGCAATGCATACTCAGCCAACCACGGACATACCGAACTCTACTGACATCCATCCCACGTTTCCCCGCTGTTCAAGAGGATATCACTTCAAATATTTTGTGGAAATCCTTAAGTTACGGCACCTGCAGAATTCCCCAATATACTAGGGAGCCTAACCAAACTATGAAACACACCTAGTTTGATACAATTCTTCATCCATCTTGATGACTCAAATTCTCTATTTCATTCTAAAAATTTAAATAACCAGGTTTTGCTGGCTTTAAAATACTTGCAGATATGAAACAATATTAGGAAAAAGGATGAACTCTCAGCATCCTAAATATTAGGTTAAGTAAGATATTCACCATTCTGGTCAACTTAAATTAGGCAGTTTAGGGTATGGTACACTAATAACATAATTAAGGACATGCAGCAGAGTGATGAGAGGCATCTTTGTTTACTGGGAGATAGAGGCACAAAAATTATTTCATCATGGTGGGGCATGTGGCTACCTAAACATCTGTCAGTATCCTTTGGGGTATAATTATGGCCTCAAATGCAGAAAAGGTGTTTCCAAAACAGAAATTAAGGAACCGCCATCAAGTAGCAAAAATTAGGTCTGAGGGAGGCAATAAGGATGGAGTATTGCTGCAAAAACCCGAAATCCTCAGTCCTTTAAACAGAAACTCAGACCACGAATAAGGTTGAGGTTGCTTTTTAGCCCTGGAGGGCTTTCTACCGATCAGCTCAAGTGAAAGAGAAATACTGGCTTTCCAGGCGAGCTCCTCCAGCCCAGTGGTATTTGCACCTTACACCTGGACCCTTCTTTCACATGTCCACCTCCTTAAGGAGCCCTGTGAAAATGCAAGAACAATCATGAAAAAGTCCTCCAGCTGCAAATCAGCCACGTGGAGCTGCGGCAGCCGCGGCCCCACTTCCTGGTCCGCTTCCTGCCCGCCGGGGCGGGGGGCGCGGGGGGCGCGGGGGGCGCGGGCGGCCGGGGGTAGGGCTGTGGCCGCAGGGGCAGCGGAAGTTTGGGGACCTGGAGGCTTTAATACCTGAGCGGTGGGGCAAAGGCTAAGCAGCGGCCCTGGGGAAAGTGTAAGTTAGTTGCAAGGCAGCAGCGAACTGCTTCGGGGCCGGATCGCAGGGGCGGGTGCGGGGGAGGGAGCGGAGCGCGCCGGCGGGCGGGCGGCCGGGCGGGGCGGGGGCCGAGCCGGGGCGGGAGGCCGAGGGGAGTTCCGGATCTGCAGCCGGAGCGGGCGGGGGCGGGGGC